GGCGAACAGCTAGTCTGATAAGCATTATTCATTCTATTAAACGAGACAGTACGTCCAGCATAGTTTATGACAACGAGATTATATTACAGAATTACAAATCCCTGCATTTTTCTTTTTTTGTTTATTTTCAGACGTTTACATTTTTAGCTAAATTTTTAAAAGCGTTTTACCATTCGTAAAATAATGTTATTTCATTAACAATAATTATACTATTTGTGACATTACTCTTTTAAACGATAGGAATATTTAAATTTAATAAACTTATCATCAGAGTGTGAGTTAATTCTATGTTACAAGATATTAATTAGTTCGCAATGCGCTATTACACAACATTGCGCGACAAAGCGAATTACCGTCACTTTATATAATAAACTCGTTTAACAGATGGTGGTCTTTTTAATGCGTAGGGCAACAAAATAATGTTCTTATCCGAGGGATTATCTCTGGAAATGAGTTTCGGACGAAGATTATGACACCCTTTCCGACACTCTGGCATATATGATAAATTCGAGGAAATAACAGGAAAATGCGCGATTCACAAAATTTGCACTTTCATTGATATCGAGATAGCGGAATACCGACTGAATTAGACTTATCGCAGACAATTTACGCTACTACTAATAACAGAGTGTACAGGTACACGCGCCCTGTGTGAGATGGGGGTAAGTAATATTCTTCAAAGTCGCTGACATCGCTGGATTCTACCGTGCGCCGCCATTTTCGCTGATAATATTCCATCGCTGGATGCTCAGAGAGAACTTTGATCGGACGCCCTATGTAAATTGCCCTACTTTCTCTTGCTCGTTCATCTAGCTTCACACCGTTTGCGTCAGTAGCGTTGTCATTATTATTTTTTTTTTTATCTCCGCACAGAGTCGACGCGGCGATACGACGTTGCGAGAGATTGATGATAGCGAAACAGAAGGAGAAAGAGGAAGCCAGTTCTTTCATCTTACACGGGGGAACTTCAAAATATGTTTGAAAGGCTTCAGGATCCATAAATTTATTTCCAGATCCAAGACTGTTTTCCCGTGGAGTTTTATTCGCTCGGAAATGCGATTCACGCGACGTAAAAATTAACAGAGCGAAGGAAAGCTTTCAATTGGGGCCGTTCGTTCTTCAGCTTTATAGAGTTTCATATTGCAGATGTATTGATTTTACTGGCAGCATAGAAAAATAGATAATGAAGAGAACGTTGAACGAAGTAAAAAAAGGTAACGAAAGAGGAAATTAACTGCGGGTTCTCACTTCACTTTTCGTATTTCGTATTTTATATTCGATAAAAGCTGTCTCTTTTTACTGAAAATATACAATTAATTTAATTTAAGTATTATATACGATAAAAAATATATGACAATGAAAAATATATGAAATATATATGTGAAAAGTCTGAAATATTTTTCTCAAAATTGCTTTGTTTTCGAGATGTTCCATTTCCACAATTTTGGCATACCCTGCATAAATATGTATATTTTAAATAATAATGAATGCTTTTTCAATGAAAAGAGTTAATTTACAAACTATAATTGTGTCTTATAATTAAGCAAAAACTCACTGAATAACATAAATTAAAACATAATAAATGTGCTTGTTTTATATTTGAAACAACAGAATTATTTTATAAAAAAAGTTGTCAGAGAAAGCATTAAGAAAATTAAATATTTTCTTTCATTGATTGATATAAATTTTATGATTAATTATTATTCCATAATTATAATTACTTTCTCAGATGTTCTCAGAATAGGAGGAATACATTTTGTAACCCAGGCAACACATTTATTTATTTGAGCCGTTTATTTATCTGACCAGTTGACCTGATTGCGAAACCGACTTCTTCGTCTGACAAAACAAATTACGAATGCCGACAGCTATTTTTTACAAAATAACAAAATAATCTCTTTATTCTCAGTGAGGCATGAAAGAGGCGCGCCGCGAAAGATTAATCAGTGGTTTCCATGAGACCTACTTTCCCGTTTCCCGTTCTACGAACTTCCACAGCCCTTCTACATCGTAGTCCTCCATTGAAAACTTTTTATCCATTTATAAAATCTACTGTTGTTCACGTGTGCCCGCTTAAAGGGTCTCCCCATGACAGAATTTATTCGTTGCTCCATGCAGACGGGTTGTGGAGTTTCTCTCCGTAGAAGGGGATAAACTACTTCGTAAGAAGATACGCGATACTCCGTGCAACTGTGCAATGGGTTTCTCTCTGCGCGGACGGCAAAATCGATTCTAGAGATGTGCTGCCGCCGGCCCGACGTTCGCGGCGGTATTTATCCTGCGTTTTCGCGCAACGCCAATAGACATTCATCTACGTTCTGGCGATCAATTATTGGCGCAGCTGTGAAAGGATGCCATTCGAGTCAGGCCGCTTTTTATTGTAGCACTCCGGTCCCCGTTTCAATTTCGCCGGAGCATTTCGCCGTCTATCGAAAGATTCATAATTCCGATATTTTGTTATCGTACGTGTCCGCCCGCGTCGGACGAATAAATCTTTCGCACGTTTTCTAGCAGAATTTCCCTCAAGTAAAATCGATTCGCGGGATGAATCGTGTGAATGCATCCCGCACGAAAGTTGTTTGCCTTAGAAATCAAGGTATTCCCGCGGAGGATGTTACCACAAATACATAGCGTATGTACATGATTCAGCTATATTTGTGCGGCTAATAAAGGGGATCTGCTTTCTCCGTAATTACATGGTAAATATTACATGAAAGATTCCTGTGATAATAAATACCATAAAAAACTCTACTAAAGGATATATGCACTCTGAGGTGTATTATAAGTGCCTTTCAGCTTTTCCTTGGATCTTTCCGTTGCTCTACTTAGTAGTCACAAAGGTAATCCCTGCGGGATAACCATAACAGAGAAAAAGAGAGAAAGAGAGAGAGAGAGAGAGAGAGAGAGAGAGAGAGAGAGAGAGAGAGAGACTAC